CAACCTTTTTCAATGGATTTTTGAGGTGCACCTTTATTTTTACATTTTAAGGTTGTAACCTTATATAAACTTTTTCCTTACATAAATCTCCTCCATATTTTTTTCATGCATTAACCTATTTTTTGAGATTTTTTGGAATCTTTTTATGTTTATCGATCGCATTGGGCTGATGCACCCGCATTTGGAGCGCATCGAGCCGCTTTGCCGCATCGGCCTCGCGACCGCATGACTCATTTTAAAACACTGTGAGTCCATAGAAGGCTCGTTGAGTCTACACATGTTTTGTGGATTTGTAACTCTAAGATGAAACTTCACGTACACTTCCTCATCAAGGTCACCATTGAGAAATACATTTTTAACATATCGATGGTATGAGGCCATTGTTGGATAAATGCTATGGAAATAAGTGTCTGAACAATGGTCACATGTGCTACTGGTGCAAAAGTCATATTGTTGGGCTGTATATTTTTGCTACAAGGCAAGTTTTATATCATTCAACTATCCTTTCCTTTGGAAGAGGTACAAGATCCCTAGTATGCATCCGATTGAGAGCATCTACCATTACTTGTTCGCACATAAGCTGACTTGCAGCTTCTTTGTACCTTTCGAACTTTAAAGCAAGAAATTCTTGGTGCTGAATTTAGGGACTTAATTTTGTTTTTTTTTGCAATTAACTCAGACATGGCTTGAGTTAGAGTAGGGAGAGAGCTTCTATGTAGTATGGCATTTCAGGAACTCTCAAATTCCAGATAAAGTGCCTTTAAGAATTCAATGAGTCAAAACGCAGTTTTTGACTTTTCAACAATTTTTGCATTCGGACTATCTTTGATCATAGGTTCCATGAGTGCCAGAGCATCATAGAGCATCTTAATGGATGAGTTGAAATCCTGAATGTACTGATCTCCTTGTCTAAGTTGCGAAGTTTGTGTACTAACTCATATTTCCTGCTCAGTTAGTCTGTAATAAATTTCTTCAAGAATATTCCATACTTCATGGGCATTTATGAAATTGGTTAAATTAATCCCTATGTTACTTTCTGACGACCCCATCAACCATTCTATAACTCTAGCATTATTAATTCCCCTCTATTCTAGTTTTTCGGTCGTTAGGTTTCTTTTCAGTTGCATCTATATATCCCAAGAGCCCTCTTCCATGAATGAATTCTCATTTAATTTAATAGTACGTAGCTGAAAAGATTCGTATTTGTTTATTGAAATAGGTATAAGGGTTATAATAAGCTTTGGTTGGACAGTAAGCAGAGAGAATAGGCACCCGAATGATTTTTTTTAGAACTGAGAATGGAAGGAGAATATTTTTTATTTTAGCCAAATAGGTTGTCAGAAAAAGCTGCAAATCTTGCTCTAAACTGGCTTCTATAATCAATTAGACTCTGAGAATGGTTTTCATTCAATTATCTTTTTCATTGTAGTGAAAATATGGGTTCCTTTTCTACAGAGAGCGAGAGCATAGTTAGTGGGAACCGGGGAACCGCTCTGAGAATAGGAAAGATATCCATATAAGTTGGGGTCCTCGATCCATATATATATAAAGGATCGTAGTCCCAATTCTTATGGAAACTAGATCCCATTGTGCAATAGATGGGTTCCCTCTTCCCATTGAGTTAAATGTTTTAATTATCTTAATTCTTGATATAGTTTATACATTGGATGTTTATGATCACTACATGATATATATGGAAATTCACAAATATAAGGATCGAGATCCCTGAATCGAGGGATCAAAATTCCAACATGATAGGGATCAAGATCTACAAATAGAGGAATCAAGCTCCCTATTAAAGGGATCCAGATCCATACGAATAAGGGATTGAGATTCCTAGAAGAAGAGTAGAGCTCCCTCAAAAAAGAAAACAAAAAAAAAGGAGCTCCAATCAAGACCCCTGCTTTGGAGTGTGGGATTTGGATTCCAGATCCAAAACCATGCCCTTTAGGGGCGCTTCCGGTAACCAAGAGAGAGAGAGAGAGCCAACAAAAAGGCTACAGAAGGGAACGAGGAATGTGATTACAATGGGGTGCAAGAAAAGGACAAATGACAGGTACACGGTTAGGTGGGTATATATAAAAAGAATGGGTATGGGGTCAAAACTCGAGAGAGACCGACACAAACTTCGGAAATCAAAAGAACGCAAATGATTGGGAAAATGAAGACAGTGAAAAACAACTAGGATCTGAAAATTAGAGCGAGAAATACAGGACCTGTTTTTTTGCACCTGATTCTTGCAAGTGAGAAGTACCTAGATCTGAGAAATCCATGTAAGCTTTTCTCGTCCGAAAATGCCTTCGCCAGAAAACAGAGCAAGACCAAAGAGATCTGGTGAACCAGGACAGAGCTCTAATACCATGTGAGAAGAATCTTTGTATTTCACTTGATGAAAAATCGTGTACAAGGGCTTAATTTTAGAGGGTTACAAAACTGTGTACAGACTAATACAAAGAAATGTATAGGGTGAATCACCTTCCTGACATGTGTATACAAGAAAAGAAAATATTTTACAGAATAATATATATAGAGCTACTATATGTCACATGGAAGAGGGTTCTAATGAGATTGACATATTTTGGAATAAAGAAGGAAGAGTCTGGAATCCCTGATAGCTTTTTGTATAGGAGAAAGCTCAAGTTTCTCCAAGATATTGCTTTGTGTTGGCCTGAAATATTGCTGATTGTCTGTTCTTCGAATTTCCTACATCAGTTGGCAAGCTTTTAGATCTACTGAAGAAGATGTAAAATCCCTCTTGGTGGTTTAAATGTTTTTGTTTGTTTTCTCTTCGAGCCTTGTCATGGAGGGTAACTCAATCAATGTCAACAACATGAATATTTAGGACACAGAGTATGGAGGAGATTTTGTATATTACACAAGCTATACAAACCCACAAATATGTGATCTGTTTTCCCAGGTGAACTAGTCGTCCATCAAACAGACTCTCGACTTACATTGTATCTGTTATATTTGGATTTATCTTGGTGTCTTAGCCTCACAAGCATGTTTTAATAGGAACATAGTCCGACAATAATTTTGTCTCTATTTAAATTAAATGTTGGGAACAAATATCTTGTATCCTTTTGAGGTAAGATGTTAAGTATAATTTTACTTCTGTTAAGTATAATTTATCAGTCACCAAGAAACACTTAACTTAGAGATGATGGATCTGATCTCAATCAATTTGGGATAATTGTGTACTCATTGTGGGAATTGATTTGGGTTCCTTTCAAGAAACCCTTTCTTTTAGTGGTCATCTTATATGAATTCCTGGCAGTGTTACATGGACACAGACACTAGTGTCATGTCTAGTACTTTGGCCTAAGAACCTTGTACGGAGCCGACACATCCATACTAATATATATATGGAAAACACTACGCAACTCCTATAGGCGAAAGTGAACAGTGATTTCGCCTATGCTCATCACCGTCCAACGTTCATCGCACAGCTACAGTTGTCTGATAGTATTTCAATTTTTATATTTTTTCTACAAATGGGAATGATCTGAAATTTGGAGCGTGTGTTCATAAAACACAGGTGAATCTAATAAAAAAATATAAAATAATAATTCTCAAAATACAAATTGACCAAAATACCCCTGAAAATTTACGGGGGTATTTTGGTCAATTTATATTTTGCGAAATATTTTTTTCATATTTTTATTAGGTGCGCCAAACTATGATGTACACACGCTCCAAATTTTAGATCATTCCGTTTTATATAAAAAAATGAAAAATGAAACACTACCAGACAATCGTGACCGTGCGATGAACTTTGGGCGATGATGAGCATAGGCGAAATCACTGTTCATTTTCGCCTATAGGCGTTGGGAAGACCTTTCCTATATATATATATATATATATATGTCATAAATACTTTTAAATCTAATATGTGAAAATTAAAGATATATATATATATATATATATATGTCATAAAATACTTTTAAATCTAATAGGTGAATATTAAAATATAACAAATATCAAAATTGAAAATATAAATTTTTGTAGTGGAAAAAATGATAAAAAACATACTTGTTTCTGTTTTTCTTTTTCAAAATGTTATAAAACCTTGTTAGTGATACATATAATACTTAGCTTAATATTGTCAATATTTTTATAACTATGTTCGTAGAGTTATTAGCATTTTCCAAGAATGATTCAAGCTCAAACCTAACCAATAATTTACATTTCAGAATGTGCAAAAAATTTCAAAACGTAAATAATTCTGTATAAAAGCTTTGACTTTTCTTTGCAAATATTGCTTTCTTCTATTGTTTATCTCTTATATAAGTAATAATATGCTGATACCTAACATGCCTATTCCAGCCTGCAAGGTGTTAGCCCTTACCACTTATTGGCCACATGTCTTGGGTTCCATTACCCTCTCCCCCATGTATGTATTTTATACACAACTTTAAAAATCCACCTCAAAAACCCACTTCAAAAAAGATGCTCACCGTGGGATTCGATACAAAGTTCTCTAGCCTGAGAACAATACACTCTACCGCATTGCCACGAACCTTTTATTGTAATAAAAAGGACTGACACTTTTATATGAAGTGTTGATACATGCTAAAATTCACTAAATCGGACATGTAAGTATCTGGGCTTGTCGACATGTGTCAAAGTGTGAATACGTGTCGATAGTCAACACAAGAGGGGAGATGGAATTTCTATGTAGTGCTGATTCCTGGTGCTCTAGGGACTTCGTATTGATTGGTGACAATTTTTATAATACTTGTTAGTTTTAATATACTCTTGTTCTACATAGTTTTGGATTTGCCTTAAATAATAATGGTGTGAGGTGCACGTAAGAGGTGGGTCTTGACTTTCTTTATAACAGCATATATTTTTTAGTCATTGAACTCTTAATTTACTGAAATGAAGATTGCAATCGCACGATATCATCATTTAATATGAACATGAACTCTTCCTTTATTAAAATGATCTAATGGTTATTTTTTTGAATGACATGAGACATTAGCTATTAACTTGTTCAGGTGAAGCACATGCATTGGTATCTAGTAGGTGATGATGTTGCCGCTTGTGAATGCAGATGCAGCCGAGCCTGGTTACCATCCAGCAAGTGAGTTGAGTTCTTGCTCTCCAAGTATGAAGCATAATTATTTACCCAAAGAAAAAAAGTATGAAGCATAATTGTTTTTTTTTTTTTGCTTGCTACCGTATTCAGGATTTCAAGATGTATTTCCTGTGAGCATGTTGTTTTTAAGTTGGTAAAAAATAATAATCTCATTTCATTTTGTTTAATTGTTTATCGTGCCTGGAACTCTAGATCTTATATCAATAATTGTAAGAGATCATTTGATGAAAATGTTTAACAATGACACACATTTGATTCTCAGCAGATGTTATCTTCACAAGTTCCATTGACATTTGAGGCTTAGTTTTATAAATGCAGAACTCATTGGACTAGGATAATCTAGATGTATGCTAACCTGGAACATGAGGATAAAATTTCCATTTCACAAATAGTTTGCTATATAATATTTTGGATAAGTGGCCCTCAAATTCTAGAGATTGGGCTCATGTCATTCCAGGCTTGAATGTATGTGTTATCATTCAGGAAACAGAGACTGGTCCAAAATTTTGGTAAAGACTCAATTCAAGGTTGGGCCATTTTGATGCCACATAAGAAATTTAAAATACTGAGGCAAATCGAAAATAATGAATAAGAAGTCTCAGGAAGATTGAATACTAAAGGAGGCCTGTCTTTGACATTTGTTTAAAGACAACAGAAAGGAGAACAGAAATCTATCTGGTGATAATAAGAGAGAATATATTAAACCTGTGGGTCAGGTTCCAAATGCAAGAAATAATCTTGTGAAAGTAATCTTTACCATGGGTAGAATCAACAGCCTATTCCTGATGGATTTCCTAGCAACTTCTTCCAAAAGACAAAGTAAAGGAAAAAGAAACAAAAAAGCAAGCTTCTTCCTGGAGTCATCATCAAAAGTGACATTATGGAGGTCTTTGAGGATTTCTGTAGCCAAGAAGCATAATCACTGAGGCAACACTACTTTCACTAATCTCTTCGCAAACTTGAAACTGCTCTGGACATAACAACTTTGGGCAAATTGGCATAACTGGAGGATTGCACAAGATGACTTTGGCATGCCATTGTGTTCCGAGCATGACTCAAGAAATGCTGCCCTGTATATATTCAGCTATATCAGTGTGGCTTTGTGAAAGTGCGGAGGTATCTGGGTGGAGCTTGGTTTTTTGACCAACTGAAAGGCTCATTCTGTGAATTTAGAAATCTAGGTACTGTGTTTTAGACTAACCAAGACAACATGATGTCGATTATCAGTCCATGCTTGCATGAGTTTGGTAAGTATTGGTTAAATTAGTTAGTATAAAAATAAGAGGGGGAAAAGATGGTAAAAGAGAAAAGGGGGAAAGAAGAAAAATCTATATATTTTTTTTTGTAATTTATTTTTAAATTCACTATATTCCACATTCATTTTCAAAGTAACCAATAGTCCCAGCTTGAGTCTTATGAGATCTGGTTTGGTGTAGCTGAGTCAATTGAATCTGGGGTTGACTTAGCCTTGTTGACCCAGTTTTGGCAAAAATTAATGCAGGCTTGGGTGTTCTCAAACACTAACCCAGAAAATGACTTAGTGAGGTCAGATCGAGCCTGCACTTGGTTAACCTGCCAGGATTTTTAACTAAATGTTAAGACTTTTATCGAAAAGCTTGGGCAATGTGAAGTGTTTATCTAGCTTTGCTACTTTGTCACGTCTCATAGCTTTAGTTCTCTGTGGCAGTGTCTATGATTCTATTTGCTTGAGTTTTCTTTACTTTCACAACCCTCATTGTGTACACGTGCAGTGTCCTTACAATCTGACAAAAATCAAACAGCAAAAATAAACTAAATAATGTTGTTGTAAATTTATATCATAGATCTGTTTCTGTGGAGAGGAGCTAACTACTAGAGGAGGGCAAGAAACTAGGCCCTTGAGGATGGCAAGAAACTAGGCCCTCCATTTATACGCTAGCATTTTTCTGAGGCTTTCTTAGTTTTCTGTGGCAAATGAGTTCAAAATGACTGAAAATTCCTTTTCATCTAGCTCAGCATTAGTTAGCTAAGAATGGAACATTTGGTCCATTGTTGTGTGTTCTCTCTCTCACTCCATAAAGCACTTACCCATGTCATTGCTCGTCACCAAGTTCTTTGAATGGTGTGACTATGTGGAACTCAAGGTATTAAATTCAAAAAATTTCTTTTAACATTTATTAGCATACCGGAATTCCACTTACATGGGTCACAATACACTGCTGTAAATAAAAAATAAAACTGTAAATACAACTTAGGATCTTTCCTTTTATTGCCAAACCATATAAACACAACCCATGAACAATTTTCACTCTTCCACTATGAATTTAATTGCAATGGTCCTGAAAAATCATAGAAGTATGTGAATATGACTGAAAAATAAATAAAAACAGTCGAGAAGACTTACTTGATCATGCCTAGGGATACTCTCATAGGACTTGATACACCCCACACAAGGTTCCCTGTCAATTGGCACACTTTTATCCTTATGGTCTTGCCGGAATTTCAGAGATGAGAAGCCTTCATTGGCAATACCTCTTCATCTAGGGTTTTAGAGAGTATTAAAACCTAACTAGGGTTTGTAGGAACAGGACAAATTAGGGCTGGGATTGAAGACATAGGATCCTCCTATGGCTGGGCCGTACACCCTTTTCTTATCCAAACAGCAAAACCCTAATTAGGGTTTCAATGTGCCACCCATTATCAAATTTGGTCCCTTTTTGGAAGGGAAGAGAGAAAAATGAATTTTAATAATGAGAGAGAGAGAGGGAGACTTAGTGCGTGGAGGAGAGAAAAATATGTATGTAGAGAGAGAGGGCCTCAAAGATGTTTAAATAGAAAGAATTTCTTCTCCTATTGGATTATAATTCCTTCTCTAGGTATGTCTATCTTAATGAGTCAGCTTTACCAATGCGAACTTAGGAAATCTGTAAGTTGAGAGAGATTAAATCTGAGCCATCCATTCCACAAATCAACAATCATAATTTTGGGTGGAAATTAAGAATATTATTCCTTTATTATTTGACGCAAGTCCAACTTCTAAATTAACTAGATTCAATGTTCAGAAAGGCAGAGGTGGCCAAGGGTCTGGGCTGCTTAGGCACCAAAGAGGCCGCCTAAGCGGGCGCCTAAACACGAAGGCGGCCCTAAGTGAGGAGGTTGGGGTGGCAGCCATATGTTGTTTAGTGTGGGTTGGGGTGACGGCCATATGTTTTTTAGTGTGTTTGTGTTTTGCGAATATGTGTGTATGTGTTTAGTGTGTGTGTGTGTGTGTGTGTGCATGTGCATGTGCACGTATGTATGTGCGTGAGGTCTCCCATGAAATTCTTAAAGATCGTACTCTTTTTTTCTTTTGGATCTATATTTGTAAGAGAGAGGTCTCAAACACTTGGAGGATCTATATAGAGATAGAGCGAGAGCGAGAGAGAGAGAGAGAGAGAGAGAGAGAGAGAGAGAGAAGAG